GACACGTGGTCCGCAGCCATTTTTCCACTCGACACGTGGTCCGCAGCCATTTTTCCACCCGACACGTGGTCCGCGGCCATTTTTCCACCGGACACGTGGTCCGCGGACATTTTCCGCCTGACACGTGGTCCGCAGACATTTTTCCGCCCCTGACATGTGGTCCGTGGACATTTTTCCGCCCCTGACACATGGTCCGTGGCCATTTTCCACCCCGACACGTGGTCGTAGGGAGGGGGATTCTCCCTCCAAGCAATAGCCGCCTCCCTGTCCTCTATGCCAGAACGGATTAACGGTAATTACATTGAACCTTATGGGAAAATTTGATTCAGGTCGCGACCAGAGTCACGGAACGAATTAAGTTCGTAAACCGAGGTTCCACTGTATATTAAACCCCTTTTCCATACCTTATATGGACTCTACTGTGATTGGGCTCCATGATCATGATCATGATCATGGTTGTTTGCTTTCTAAAGCAATACAAAGCTGATACGGTACCTCTCTGTATTGTTTAGACACCAAAACCTACTTTTGGTAGTTTTTTTGGCTACTTTTTTGTTTACTTTTACTCTGTAGGTGTCTTTTTAAGGTTACCATAAATTTGGCAGGCTTTGTTAGAATGTATCACTTCTGAATAACTAATGTAGTAAGAAACAGCACTTTAAATAAAAGTTAGTTCACAGGATCAAGATATAATCAAGATGGAGTGGCTTTTCAGCCACAAATGATTCAAGAATAAATTTTCTAGTTTAGGAAAGGTTAATAGGGAGTAGCAGATAACAGAACATAGTCTAAGGCTGCAATCAACAGATGCTCGTTTACCCTGAAATAATCCATGAGATTCCAGTGGAATTGTTTTGAAGTAATTGCTGCCAAATACTGGATTGTTCCAGGCTTATGGGAATCCTCATTTTTCAGCAAAGGGGGATGACATGAAAAACAACAGCAGGAAGTGAAATTACTTTTGCTATTTTTGATTTTTTTTTCCTTACCTGGCACTGAAGTTCCCAATGCAACGAATACGACTGCAGTTACAGAATCCTTCAGGCCAATTGTGCAGCCAAAATGGGATGCCAAATCCCCAATGAAAGCTGTGAGAAGGCCAATCATGAGGATGGACACTACAAAACAAGCCCAACCATTCCAGTAGTCTGTTGGGGGGACAAAGGCAAAAAGGACTTTCCAGAAGACGGTCAGAAAGTGCATCACATAATCAAAGCAGGATGGTAGCTTTTCTTCACCACATTCATCGTCATCATCATCCTCTCCTGGAAGAGAAACATCAGACAGAGAGAGAGAAAGAGAGAATGGAATCGCTTCAGAGCCATGTACACACAGCCATCCCATTCATGATGGATGGTTCCCAAACGGTAAGGCTGGGAAGAAGATCACTCATATCAATGGGAGGCAAACAGAACTGACTCTGATGGGCTAATGCCTGACTCCATAATGACTACTGTACATGTGTTCACAGGCTTTATTATTTGTATTCATGGCAGCTTCCAAAACCAGCTCAGAATATGTGGCAACCGGGCTACAGGGTCAAACGGTATGCCACCTCACAGACACAAGGCATGCCCAGCCGTTGGAGAGCCCAAATTCACAGGCTCTTGTAATGATTCAAAGGATGAAGTTAAAATGATAAATTCACTCTTAAAATAATAAAGCAGTAGACATGAAGTGCAAGGTAAACAAACCAGTATTAAAGAGTAATACACTATAAGGCCAATAATTGCATTTAAAAAGACAGAAAAGGCACACACACAAAGTCATTTTTAAAATGGGCTGTGAGTTACTATAACTCATATTTTTTACAAATTTACTGATTAACTGGTTAAACACAAGCATAATTACCATACAGTTGCCTTTTTGAAAAGTGAAAGGGAATATAGGATAACATCTTAATAAATATAATGTATCACTTTAGAGGGAAAGGGCATTGCATTTTTCATTCTTTATGAGAGAGGAAAAAAGCATTCTCCATGTCATACATCATTTCATCATTTTATAAATATATCTGTTATAACTTTATATTGAGTTCTCTCTTACTTGCATTTTTCTAAACTGAAGAGATTAAAAAAAAGTGTCACAGGCAGTTTGCTTCAGTTTCCTGATCAAGTTGTTTTCCCTCTTCTATACCTTTTGCACCTCTACCACATTTGTCTGAGTTTAATTTTTCTTATTAACTGTGTCTATTGTTATATCAGAGGATTCATCAAGTATGCTTCCATGTGAGGAAAACATAAATCAACATCCTCTTCCAAACTAGGCCCATATCTCTTTAGTCAGAAATGGCTAGAATCATACAGCAAGTCTCCCTAAAAGCCTAAAACAGAAGAAAATAAGAATAAGAAGGTGAAAAAAGAGGAAATGGAACAAAATTAGAATACACCCACATTATGCATTTTTCTTTGATGATTCTTCAATGAGGCAGTGGGTAAAACCCAGCTGTTCAATCTCCTAAAAAATCTAGAAATCTTTGCCTTTCTTAGCATTGTTTCATTTACTGCTGTTTAGTCTAAACTAGACTGGTTCCAGCAGAGCTGTTTTGTTTTTAAATGCCATGTGAATAATATTCCTGAACCGGGAATGTGTGAGTGGGGTAAGAAAAGGTTTCCCTCTACTCTGAGGACACCAGGGCTATGATTACTGATGTCTGATTTAAATTGGCAGAACCATTTATTTTTCAGAGCTTGACCCAGGAAAGATATGTTGTACTGAATACATAAAGATGATTCCAAGGCAGTCCCAATGTTAAAAACATTACACGCACCTCCATCTTTATGGCCAGGTGAATTGTAAAACATTCAGGAGAGGCCCCGGTTGAAAGATCCAAAGTGTTATCTGAGAATACTGGAGGGTACCTCCCAATGCCTAGACGAGTGTTCCTCAACCTTGGGAACCTTAAGATGCGTGGACTTCAACTCCCAGAATTCCTCAGCCAGCTGGCTGGCTGGGGAATTCTGGGAGTTGAAGTCCACACATCTTAAGGTTCCCAAGGTTGAGAAATATTGGCCAAGACAGTGCTATCTGTTTTGCTTGATCCTGAAAGCTGCTGGAAATGTGACTCACCAGGCAGGCCATTTTTTCCTCCACAAATGACCATTTCTCAAATCACAGTGAATGATCTACAAGACTTCTGATTACTTCTCCATTAGCAATACAATTATGTAACCAGATGCTTGTTGCAGAACATTTTGATTTTCTGGTTTGCACCCCACCTGTTGTACTACTTGTTCTTGATGTACACTGTATAATAATCTCATAAAAGGCATGCAGCAGTAGAGTCCCAAACAGCTGCTGAAGTCTGAAGCCTTTAGGTATCCTTGCTGTGAAATTGCTACATTTTCTCAGCAAAGCAATGATCCTTTTTATTGAGAAGTAAAGAAAAATGCCAGGGTGTGCTATCTTAAATGCAAGAAAGTTTGCATTAGGGAGAGAAACCCAAATGTCTTCCTTCTGTTTGCCTACACAAGAACAACTGTTCTCCAGCAGCTGGCTTTCGTGACTCCGTCATAGAAAAACAAACTTTATCAGCTAGCTTGGAACAGCCGGAAACGTTGTGGATTAGCGTATGGATGTAAGAGAAATTAAACACAGATTCTATAGGGGTCTATCAAAATGGAATCCACCCACAAATACCAACGAACACAGTTTTCGTGTGTCTGCCATCCCCTGCTCAAATGCCAATCTATGGTTTGGATGTGTATGCTTAACTCATCACTTGCCTAGCAATTCTTCTTTTTCCCCACTCCCTGCAAGATGATTTCAGTTCTGGAAATAAGCTTAGCTTGGGAAAAAGTATTTTGGGAAAAACAATGATTGCAAGGGAAGGGGTAGATAATATAAAGCAGAACTTGCAATTAAGTATAAATAATGCCACTGCCATGTATAGTTTAACCCTGACAAATATAAGCTAAAGATATTTAATTTATTGATTTAATAGCAAAAACGTAGTCATAATAATATTTATTAAATATTTATTAAATGCATTAAATTATGATAGATTATGATATTTAGATACCCAAACATCTTGTTCAAGAAAATTATATTATAAAGTACCTTCCCTACCCTGTCCTCCAGATGTTTTAGACTAGAATCTTTATCAACCACAGTGATCATGGCTATGAGATATAAAAGTTGCAGTCCAGCAGACCTGAGAGGAATCAGGTCAGGGAAGACCAAAACAAACAAACAAACAACCAAAAGAACACCCAGAAACAAGGATTTGAGAGATAGCAGGATTTGATTCAGCAAATGGAGTAATATTGCCAATACATTATTTAGAGAACTGCACATCAAGACATTCCCTTTTCAACTCTCTTGATCAGCAGGTGTGATGGAATGGAATTATGAAGGCCAGACTCAGGGAGAAAAACATTTTCTTTCAT